CGTACGTACTCTACTCTCTCTCTCTCTCTCTCTCTCTCTCTCTCTCTCTCTCTCTCTCTCTCTCTCTCTCTTTCTCCGTCCCGTCTTCGCGGTTTATGCCTCACCGATCGTCTCCGCTCACGTACACGAGAATCCCAGCGTTAAACGCCGATTTCTTGCGCGAAGACTTTGACCTTGACCCTAGTCGCGACACGATTCGCGTTCCCGCCAAGCGCGATTCCGATACGCTATGCTCGATCTTTTTTCCCCATCCTTTATGCGGCGAGTAACTTCTGCTAAAATCGTAACGTAAATTGTACTTAACATCGCGAATTTAAGACTGGAAGTATATGTGAAGTACGGTGGATTTTTCGAATGGGATGTTTTCTTTTTCGTCGTCGTAAAGAGCGTGGAAATATGTTCAAACAACACGAGATGCAAAGTTCAAGAGATGAGACTTGTCGTGGAGACTTCACAGGAGTCATCATTAAAAAGAGATTTTATTACAAAATTGATTTCATTTCTGAACACTCGTCATTTCGTCGTGGAATCTGCGACAGTGGTAGATAAATTTCTGCACGGACCGCAGCGAACACAGTGAGTCCGAGAGCTTCGGACGGAGGCTCTTCCATGTCATCTCGGCATTTTTCTGCCGTTTCGCTCCGCGTAACCCCTCCGTTAAGCATACACACATCGTTGCGATATTCTCGCGCCAGCGGCACGACAGGATCGCGATAGCGTTCCGTTTATTACCTCGAATTTGGAGCTCTCCATCCGTTCGTCCGAGTGCTCGTAGGCGCGCGATACGACGCGCGAGAGTGGTCGAGAGTCGAAGTCGAACGAGAGTTTCCAGCGCGTATAAACATTCGTCCGGCCGCGGCGTCGACCGGTTAAGGCGCTGGCGCGCTATCGAGCCTCGAAGCCACCGGCGGCGAGTGCACTCGGAACATGACGTCTGCAAGTCACTTCGTGACCGTATCGTGGGAAACACAAATATGTAACTGGGCGTTCCTCGTCGTCATAATGGCGGTCCATAGATTTACGCTCGACGTAGAGAACGAGCGAGCTGCATTCAGTACGAATAACGTCTGCGCTCTCGACTCGCAGTCTTTGACGCGCTAGATTTTTCGTCCACGGTCGTTCGCGTGAAATATAGCGACGTCGATGTTTGAAAATGTTATAACGAATTTGTTCTTGAGAATTTTTACAATTTTTTAATCGTTTAAATTTTTTATCTCGAAGCATACAGCCGCGTCTATTGAGATAAATTTAAAATGTCAGGATTTCTACATTGTCGAATTCTGGTATATAATACGCACATACGATCCACGCTGGCCGTCTGTTCACCGCGCACCGCGGAGTAACGCTAATTATACGCTATCCGCCGTAATTTTCGATGTTTTCTGGCCAAGTGTAGGTAGTCATTAGGACGCAGACGGCAGTTAGGCCGGAATACAGAATAAACTTATCCACTTAACTAACTAACCCAATTTTCCTCGAGATCCCATCGCGCGATCGTCGCGCATCGCTTTCTCTCGCTTTGCACTCGCGCAGCGTGCGGGGAGTGAAAAGGGCGCCGGAACGAGCGGGGCAGGATGAAGCCAAGGGTGGAGGCGAGCCGAGCGGAAAGCACGCGGAACTCTCGTGGAGAGCTGCTCTGCCTCGGGGATATTAACATTATAAATCGTCCAGGCCGGCGACACGCCCGGGGCGGAGCCGATCGTATCGGCACGATACCCACCTCCGGGCACCGATATCGATTACACTCCAGTGATTGGCAGGATTCGTAACACGCCACGGGGAGCCCGCGGCTGGCGCGACCGTTCGATCGCGTTCCCCTCGCCGCGCATCGAACGACGCGTCGAGTGTGCGATGCGTACCGCGCAATAGAGGACAACCAGTTCGAAATAGCGGAATTATCTTTCGCGATATGCACGCGAGAACGCGCTTACGGCGAAGCTAATCTGCACGGATATCAGAGAATGATAACGGCGTATCGCATCGCGTATCCACTGGCCGTTAATGGTCGAATGTAAAATTCGTGTTAGAATTTTCTAGATTTTCCGATATACCAGATGTATCACACATAGTAACATTTTATTGCAGAAAACGGTTTCTTTAACGTTCTTCCTTGCATTTATAATTGAAGGTATCCGGATTAATATTTAATTGCATCGCGTCCAGCATCAAATATATCATAATATATATTCCATAAAAGTGATGCTCCAATAAACGCTTCTGAAAGTAAAAGTTTTCATGTAGAAATTAAAATTAATAAATTTTACTTCAACTTTATGGTACATAAAAGCTCGGATATATGGTAGCATTTTTTTCAAAATTGCACGGATGATTATTTCATAATTAATTATATTCCTTCTGCTTGCAAAATGTCTTGTCTGGCAATACAAAATAAATTCAAGTAAAAGGACACGCCAGGTGTCCGCGGTCGTTATTGAATTCGTTTCCGTTCGGGATTCGTCGCGGTTTTAAATCAGACCACGCTCGCGGCCTGTCGTTAAAATCTGTGAAACCGGCGGACGATCGTAAAAATATCGTTCTCTTCTCCCTCTTCTTACGCGGCGAAGAAGAGGACCGGTGAAAACGTCGGCGGATCTCGTGAAAAGTGTACGCTGGCGATCAATGCCGGCGGTAATTTATTGGGAAGTCGAAAAAGGTGCTTATCGCGCGCGCGCCTCGTCTTCGCGTTCGCCTCTCGAGAAACCTCCGCCGGGTCTTCGCCTTTCACCATTTTTATTGACACTAAATGTGAAAACTCGTCACCCTGCCGACGACACCTTCGTGCCGAAGATCCTGTTCGAAGTGGCGCGTAGGGGATACTGCGCGCAGTCGGGCGACGCCGAGTGAAATCGCGGCGGACCACGCGTTTGCACACTGTTATCTACCTCATCTTTTATTTTAGATATTGAACCGAAACTTTTTTTATCCTTTACTTTAGAGAATTCAATTACCCGATCCTTTCTTAAAAGTCTTTAAAAAATGTGCCAAAACTTTCTAATCTTTTTTTTACGGTGCTAAACTCACACGCGCGCTATTTATTTTAATTACAAAGAAATATATTGCAACTCTAAGACACTTTGAATATTTTCTATAAAACACAAAAGTAATAAGAAAAATACCCGGACTAACCTTCTCGCGCGCGGAGTCGGGTTACAGCGTCGATAATCCATGACGTTAACTGTCGAAATGTCGTTGATGCGGAATTTGCGCCGCACCTCGTCGCGAGAAACGATTTTACGGCCGACTGTGCACGTCGCCGCCGGCGAACGCACACGCGGAAAGTCCACGGTGGAAGCGTACTAATTGTGAGTAAATACGCCGATACTTCTCCCTCGAAACTCTACTTCGAGTCCCTTTGTCCTGTTTGCTCGTCACTCAATTACTTGACCTTGTTCGCTGCTATCTTCTCGGAATGTCAGGCGATTTTTTTACTTCGCGATTTATTCTTCCACTGAAAGCGGTTCTATATTGCTTCTCTTGCCCTTTAAAAATTTATAATATTTTTATTGTTTAACTAACTCTTAATTATCCTTGATTAATTTTATTCGTGAGATTTTTTAGTCTACAACAAATTTTTTTTCATAATTATCATTTATTCCACGTTCTACGTACATCAATCTCGTACTCGTGTAGAGGTATTAGTTCCACCACTAGAAATTAATTGTCGAATGTACACGACACGCAGACTAATGGGTTTGTCGCCGGACGCGTGGAAGTCTGACGATCAATTTTACGATCGA